ATTTGGGGATCATTTGCGGTCCGGGATCATTTGCGGTCCTGGGATCATTTGCGGACCCGTACAGTTCTGTTGTTAATTTTGAAGTTCTGTATTATCTAATGAAAAATTAAGTTCCGAACAGAATCAAGTCAAGTTTTATTTGGATTTAGCAGCTTTTACTCGGTGTTTGCTACTACTTGCCTACCTTTACGGTTATTTGTAAGATAGTAATTTCATTGCCACTTTAATTCTACTCGGTCCAGACGTCAAAATAAACACGCGTCAATGAACTTCCGGTGAACATGATTGAAGGCGAGCAAAGTCTTCTTATTTCACCACATTTCCAGCTATTAAAATTCAGATCTTTTCAAATCAGTCCACATGATCAAACTAGGCATCATGCGGTCAAGTTGCGCGTTTGACGAAAACGAAACTCGCCTGCAACAATGACTGTGGGCATATCAATGGCACTTCGCGCCTCGTCCAGCATCTTTGAAAAGTCGCCCCATTTCCAGTGAACCTGACTAGAGGTCAGTATGGGGTACTCGCTTCATGCTACGGCTAAACGGTTGAGTGGTGACCATGGTATCCCCTTACGAGAAGTTACTGGAAGTTAGAGGATGTGTTTGTGAATGGTTCAGACCATGCCACGACTTGAAGGTCACCGCTAAGAAAGTTACCGTGCAATCAGGAACTCGCTTGTAAGTGATAACTGAAATATAAGAACGTTCAAATGGGAAATGTTAATTGCGTTCTCTTTATGTACGACCTAGATGGTGGATGATATGGGAAACACTTTGTTTCCGTCCGGTCGTAAACTTGGCCAAGATTTAGCGTCCAAGAACATACAGCGTGGAAGAGATCATGGCTTACCAGATTACAACTCTGTCAGGAAGGCGCTTGGGCTAAAGGGTTAGTGCAGCCGTTAGCTTCTACCAAATGCTCAAAATGTTTTCTACTCACTAAATACTCTCTACTTGTAAAGAAGCTCAGTTATGGGATTTTGAGTTATTTTGGCCACGAACAAAATTACATTTACATTGAAAGAAACCTAAAAATAGACATTTACTACGATAGAAAAACACCACAGAAATATTAAGGATGGAGGAGATTAGCTCGGATTACAAACGACCAACTTGAAAAATTTAGGCTAACCTTTTCAAGACGCACAAACCGTGACGTAGCTTATGTGAGACAGCAAAAACCTACTTTAGACAGTCGTGAGCGACTGGATTTCCATTTTACTTCAATCTATGCATTTCCTTAAGCTCTTCTTTGTCTAAAGTACAGGCATTTTCTTTTCATGAAGGACTCAGCAGTTTCTCAGAGATCACAAAAGATTCCAAGACTGCCGAGAAGATGGAGGAAGTTTACCAAGACATTAACAATATAGACTTATGGGTTGGAGGACTGGCCGAGGACCACGAGAGTGGCAGTGAACTGGGAGAGACTTTTAGAACGTAAGTGAAACAACGTCACCGAATCAACACTCTACAAAGAAGAGACAACAACTGTACTTCTTGAGCTTATCAGGGCATATAAATATGCATTTTTGTTATATGGCTCACTAAGATGAACCGAATCCTGCGGTGTGATCGGCTACCCGAACGGGCAAGATGGCGCTATCTTGCACGTTCGGAATTGCCCGCTGTCACCAGCAGGAAAATAGTGTTGTTTTCCATATAATAAATCCTTTATTGACCAAGCTTGTTCGCTAAAGAACGAGTTTATGGATCTCGACTCCTTCTCGGCCCATAGACGCGCAAAAAAGAACTTTTCCAATATCTAGCCATGTTGACCTCACGCTTGGTTATGTTGACCTCACGCTTGATCAATACCCATTAACGACTTCTGTGTCAACCTCCGGCAACTACACTGAAAGAGATATTAATGCCCCATGTGATCACTGCATTAATTTGAGTATTGAGTTTATTGTAGTCATTGTAAATGGAGTGCTGAACAATGTCAATGTCTTTTTCTGTCGCAGGATCATGATGCGTAATTTCTTGAGAATCAGAGACGGTGACAGGTTCTGGTACGAGCATTATCTCTCTGAAGAGGTATTAATCTACGCATATTTAGTTCAAAAACGATTCAAAGGACCACTTTCATGGACCTCGACTGTCTCCCTATGACATTATATGTATAGACTTTATAAGCCCCTTCCGCATTTCAAATCATCTTTGCTCGTGCTAAAAACGGAGAAAGCTCTATCACCACATTGTGGACTCAATATAATTTTCACCTTTCCACTTGTACAATCTCTTCAAGGCTTTAGAGTTTCTACATACTGGCAGCATGTCTCAACAACCCAAAGGCCTACTGAGCAGCTGCTGTATTTTTTCCTCGGCCTCTTCAGAACAATGTAGCTAATATCTAAATTTTCACTTCAAAACGTATTCCGCGTTTTCAATGCGCTGTCATTGAAAACTTTCTCGTCTTTTCAGAGTTTTATAATGCAAACAGGTATATAACAGATTAAGACTGGAATAATAATAGCTTGTAAAGCTATTGTCTAGTTCATCTTTCTAACAACAACACTGACTCAATCTTTGGTTTATATTATTGACAGGAAATAGACAAGGTCAATTCTCTCACCTTAAGCGAGATCATCCGCCTAAACACTGGATTCAAAAGCGTGCCAGAAAACGTCTTTTTCTCCTCGGATTACTGCGCAAGCGTGAAAGACTTTCAGTGTGTAGCGAAAGAAGAAGGCCCTACGGTAACAGAGGCTGAAACCAGCAACACCGTGAGAAATGTTTTGATAGCGGTCAGTGTTGTCATGTTCGTGGTCGTGGTCATACTTGTAGTGCTCCTGGTCCGGTTCTGTATCCGTTTGCGGCAAAGAAGGCGGAAAGTTGCCCCAGTTAAGGAGGAAAAGGAAGTTCACCAAAATAGTGGGCTCAGTGTGGAAGAGATTTCCTGATTCCCTATCAAGCGACTGTTAGCTCATCCAGTCGATGGAACAATTGTTGATTTTTTTTTGTGTGTGTGTGTGTGTGTGTGTGTAAATCTTCCCTAACTAATATGATATCATTTTCACTAATAATATAGATATAAAGCCACTTACTGCCCGAGCAAAGGTAAAATAAGAATGGTAATATTGAGCCGAGGTAGGAGATAACACAACAAAGATGCACAAAATAAGTAGAAGTCTCCAAAGTGCACGTGGATTAACACCTTGAGATGGGTGGACAAAAAATTGGATACAATTTACCACCACGTAACTTTGCGAAAGGGGCGGGAAACCTGAATTATAGCGCTTATATTAACAGGCGGGATTCTCTTTAATGGGTGAATGTAGCACGGACTAGTTTCGTGGACTATTCTACAGTTAGAATACCGCGAACACAACGAAAAGTTGTCACGCCAGCAATTGTGATCAAACGGAACTCGCTATCAACTTGCATCTGTTTCTCCGACTACATTAACCAAACGTCCTAATGCAAAAATGCATCTAGTAATTATACATCGGTTTGACTCACGTGAAACATAACTCGGGAATTATAACATACTTTAACCGAAAATGTAAGTTTTGTTATACAGCGGAAATTTTAGCAATTTTTGACCACAGCCACCGTCGATAAAACAAGTATTTTATCCAACGTGTTGCTCTCTCTTTTAACAAAGACCACCCGACTAGACTACTTGGACAACAAGGAAGGAAGGAAAGAATTAAAGAATTAAGAACAAAACTGTTATTAAATTATTCAATATTTAATATACTGTTCAAGATACTCAGTCCAAAATGCCTTCCGTTTTCAGTTCAAATTTATTCCAAACAGTTCCAGCTCCTTCTTCGATGAGCGCGTACGATATTGTGCGAGGGACTGTAGCTCAGTAACGCGCTAGTGAAAATCATAATCTTGCCGGGTACACACGTTACAAAAGAATATTAGAGACACGCGGATAGCTTTTAAGATTGAAGAAGCTGAATTTGGTCTTTCGTAAAATCCCATTTTACACCACACAAAGCCAAGTTGCCTTACATTTTCCTAGTGCCTTTGTGAGAGCTACAGAACCGTACGAGCGGGTGATAGTAACGCGCCGAAATTTCCAATAAAATGGTCCTGAATTAAAGTCTAGTTGTCAATCTAGGAATTTTTGTCACTATATTTAATAAGTTTGGCATTCTCGACCCCAGACCCTTCGCAAAGGAAAAGAGTACTCGAGAATGGTGAGTTTGGAAAACGTAAATATCTGAGATTGTCGCAGTGACTCAACAACACCAGTTTCTCTCTGAATTTGTCAAACTGTACCATAACCTGTGGGGAGTATTAATACTGGCTATAGGACTGAGTGGAGTCCAATTCGGTCTGTAATCATACAAGTGATTAACAAAATCTGACGA